AATAGAAACTAGCCGTGAACAAACATCTACAACTTTTAGGCTAAGCTAGTAGGAAATGGTTGCCCGTCTATGCGTCCGACAGCCACAAAGCAATGTAAGCAGTCAGCTATTCCATTTAAATTAACATCAGCTTTCACTTTCCTAGTCGTTATATTTTTCCAACTCTTTGGCCGTTACATACATCTCACCATGTATCCAAGCTAGTTGTTCACTTTCTTCTTCTGTCTGCCATTTGCTTAAACGTTAGCTAAGCTAAAGCCAAGCTAAGATGTCTTGTAAGGCTTACAGGAGCTGCAAGATTGAATGAGAGGTTTCTGTGGGTTTGTCACTTGTTCTATTGTTACAATATAAATCCTGATTATAGAAGGACATTAAAAATAATTATTCATGAGTTACTTCTCAGACTGCAGCGGTTTTACTGGCTTTAACTGTTTTACGTGATAAGGCAGCTAGCTTATCACTGGAAGAGACTGCAGTCCTTTACAAAACCTTGCCATGAAAATGAAGGCATTTTTATTTTATTTTGAAAGGGGAGTACCTTGGAGGCTTTTTTATATTTAAGGTCTCTTAAGCGTTGGCCCAGCAACAATTAGTGCCCCTTTTGTGCTTTATTTTGTACATAAGATGAAAATACACCAGAAAAGTAGATGTGCATACTGCGATTTTGGAGTGTCCTGAGAGGCGTCTGTAAATCAAATTTATTATTATTATTATTATTATTATTATCATTATTATTATTATTATTATTATTATTATTACACACTGTTTTCCGTAATATTTCAGGAAAAAAGAAAAAGCCTTACCTTATCAGCAACGTACTCTCCTGCCTTGATTCCTTTGATGATCTGCCTGTAGATAAGATCTGTGCTGACTTCATCTAGTTTACTTTCGTGCCAGGGTGTGAACAGTTCCTTGCGGAGGGACAGCGACCATGGGGTATCCTTCTCCAGTCTGCCTTGCCTCCTCATCTCTTCCTCACACTGAGATATTGCATCTAGCACGTGTTCCCCAGAGTTCCCCAGAGACCACATCTGGTGACGAGAAGTCAGCAGAGTATGAATGAGTGTGGCAAACTGCAAATCTTTCTGCACTGGACTAGTCTGAACCTACAGTCAGCAGATACAGAGTACCCAAGCCTTGATGTAGAATCAGAAGCTTTCGCTGACCTTGTCATAGAGCCTAATGTACAGGGAGAATCCGTAGGTGTCTTTGAGACCGATGTCATTGGCCACATCTTGGCAGACTTCCTCAGATGTGGAGGACGAGTTCAGTTGTATTTCAATATTTCGACCATCCTGTATTGCCACAGTCGTATCAATGGGTTTCCTGGTCCTGGCAGCCTTTCAGTGCAGGGTAAGAAAGAAGAAAAAAAAATCAGTTGTTTCCAACCACAATTCAAATTTTGCTGCTGCTGGCCAAAAGTTAAAACTAAATAAACAGTGACCTCAGCACCATATTGGAGCCCCTTCTGCTTTTTACCTGTAGCTCTATCCAGCAGGGCAACTCTTTTCTTGGTCCATTGGCTACGATACGTTTCAGGCGCTCAATGCAATACCCCCTGTAATCATTTGGCCCTCTGCGGAGAAAGTTCTCTAAATACTGTGAAGCACAGAACAGGACACAGTAAGCAACATGATAATACCTCCGCTAAATTCAAGTAAAGTGGCATGACAAGGATTAAACATGAAGTTTGAGGCAGGATTAATAAAATGACTTCATGTAGACTGACCTTCCTAAAGAGGTCTGTTGGAGGGAAAATCCCCAGACAGATGGAGAGGAGAATCCACCCTTGCATACGACTCCTCCTGTCATTGTTTTTCAACAGCTGTTTACAGATCTGACAATAGATCTCATCCCTGCACAGAGAGAGAACCAAAAAAAATATGAAAAAAGTAGGTAACATCTTAAAATACAGCCCATAACCATAGTTCCCTGTAATTAAATGGAATTGTAGTTATTATAATTGAAATGACAATGTAATCATATTTATCTACAAATGCTTAAATCTAAGTACTGCATATGTAATTTTAATTGACGTGTAAGTAATTTTAGGCAGCCTATGTAAATCTCAGACAGTTGACTCGGATTAGTGGGAGAAACCTTTCATCACACATCCAAGTAAACACGGCCCACAGCCCAAAAACTGTAGCCCGTCTAGTAAGATGAGAAAATTATTGTTTTTCTGCAAAATTAGCATAAAATTGCACACTACTTAAAATTACTTACACACATTTACCTACAGTTATTTACAGATATATCATATTGTTCATTCTTCAAAATACTTGTAAGGCAGCATTTACCATATGCCGTGTTTTGACAGAGCATAGCCGATGATGATGTGAATTTTTTCCAAGTCTGAAAGTGGCCTTTGCAGCGTGGTACCCTCTCCAATCATAACATCCTCTTCTTCTGTCAAGTTTTCTGGCTGGTTACGATGACAATAATACAAATAATAGTAATAATAATAACAATTGCCACAGAGTGTGTGTTATGAATCAGTGACAGAAAAAAAAGACAGAATGAAGAGTATTATAGTCACCTCCTCGGCGATAGAAGAGGCTCTTCTGTCAAACTTTTTCTTGTTCTTCCTCAGTATTTTCTGTCCGGAAATGACATCATTACTAGAGGTTAAATAGTTTGATTGTTTTTTTTTTTCAGTGTAATAATAAGATATATGTAATAGTTTACCTGGTCCAGTCCCACCAAGTTGCTCAGCCTCCTGCCCTGCCTGCTGGGTGGAGCCTGGGGCGTGTTGCTTGATGCCACTGATATGGCATCTGAGGATTTGGGTTCTGGTATATCCCCCATGAAGCGCAAAATGATCCACCATATAGTCAGACATGCCTGGAGGTGAGCAGAGGAATGAGAAACTGTTTGTGAGGAGAGAAATCTCTTTGGTTAATAGTGATACGGCTGTGACTCGTTCCCGTCTGACTTCTCACCAGTGTGTCACCCTCATCGTCGAGATGCAGAAGAGACTTCTTGAGTCGGTAGGGTATGTGCGTGTGGCTGGCGTTGTCCTGGAAGTAACGCCGGCTGAACCTGTAGAATGAAAACTCTTCACTGTCGTCCTCAAAGTCATCGGTCTCCTCCTCCTCCTCATCTTCATCCACCGAAGGGGTCGGGGTTATCGAGTTTGATGGTGGGGTGACTATCAACTCTGGCTCCAAGAACTCAGAGATTATCTTTACAGGCTCTGGACTGCTGTGACTCGTCTTTGGAGGGAAAAGAGAATTTATACCAGATCTTAGACGCACACACTCAATGAAGAAAAACTAGGACATGTTAACATGACAGAATTAGAATCAGCTAACCTCAGATTCTGAGCTTTCTTCGTCTGCTACATTGAGTGAAGGCGTGACGGGAAGATCTTCGTCGTCTGAATGGCGCTCTGACTCTGACTTGGTTTCATTGTCCAGTATCTGTGAGACCTCCTCCAGCTGTTTTAAAACGAAAGCCTTCGAGACACAAAAGAGACAAAAAAGGTTTGAAAGTAGGCTCCTTTTCAGAGTGCAACTTGTGCAACTTTACCTTCCGAGATGCTGAGCACTCACCGTGTTGATCATGGACTCAACTTTCCTTCTGGCCAGCACTCCTCGCCTTTGCGCCTGCAGCCGTGTGACTGCCTCTCTCTTTTTCTTCAAGTCCTTCCTCGCCACATAGCCTCGTACCTAAACCCGATCAATCAGTGCAATTTAAAGTAAATTATTTAAGAAATAACAAAAATATCAGTAATTAATAAAATACACAACAACCGATATGTAACGTAGATTTCGATAAGATTTGATAAAATATCCTAATTTCACTATAAAATGCTTAAAATGTGATCAAATACAGCGATATTTTCCAATATTCCAAACAATAAAAAACAACTACTTGTAACATATTGCACTAAACAGTTACTGCATGAGAGTACATGCCTGTGCTTGTATGACGACTGCTGCTTCTCGCTGCTTTTGGTACTTTGCCTGGAGTTTCCGGCTACGGATTAGTGCTGCCAGCCGCTCAAAGCCGCGCTGAACCTGGTCAGACCGAAAGAGGGAAGCAAACCTGTCGTGAGTCCTCCCTAAACATCAAGGCAGCTACAAGCTCTGACTTCTATAAAAGGTTATTGAACCTTTGTTTTCATGTAGGCTCTCCAGGACCGCTGTAGCACCACGGCTGCCGAACGCTTCCTCAGAAAAGACTTTCTAAAAGAGATTTGAAGCAAAGAACTTAAGTTATTAAAAAGGTGTATTTTTAAGCCTTTATATGTGCAGTCCTTCCCTCTGCACTGGATATGAATGTGTATGATGTCCTGCACCTGTCTCTCTGTCCAAGCATGACTCTCTGGATCACCACAGCTACCCTGCTGAGCTCTTGTTCCCGCCGCTTTTCAAGAATAGAATCGTGGGCATCCTGAAATAAAGAGAATTTTTTTAAAAAGACTTTCTGATATTGAAGAAAACTTCAATCTTTAATCATATTCCAAAAATGAATCCACATTAATGTGGATTCACATTAATGTGGATTCATTTTCTGCAATCATTCAAGAGAGATGTAATGTCTCTTTGATTTAGTGTTTCGCTATGTCATGGCCACGATC